ACATAATGAATAAGTCAATGGGTGTGTTATTCCATTCATATTGTTTCATTTCGTTTACTTCATCAGTTCTCTCTCTCTCTTTGTTCTCCTTTTGTTCTCAATCTCGCTCTCTCTGTGTGTGTCTCTTTTCGATTTGTGCAAATTGTGAAATCTATACACAAGAATGTCGAATATTATGAAATATACGGTTCAATTGGAATACAACAGGCTATAGAGAACGAAGAAAAACCAAATAATAACAACAACAAGCGAGCATTTGAAATAGCGAAGCAGCAAAACAACCAAACCAAATCCGGTTATATCACATAAAAGCTTTTCGAATACTATGCGAAAGATTGAAAAGTTCTGTGAGAGCGTAAGCGATTGATCCGCATCGAAGATGTTACACAAAAGCATTGCACAGAGACTATTTTGATTTGGTTCTGGATTTCAATGATGTTGTTGTTGTGCATGTGTGCATGTGGGTGTGTGAAAGTGCGTATGTGTCTACCGTTTTGTGTATATGCTGCTATTCACAACATTTTGTGTTGATTGCACAGATTCATAATTTCTTCATGGGTTAAATTCAAGTTGCATAGAGAAATCCAACATTGAGTTTTGCTCCGTTATGCGTTTGATACCTATCGATAAGAAATGATTTTGTATGGGAAGCAAATACATCCACATTTATTGCTCAAACATAATGTTGGAATTTATTTTGGTTTTTAGTTCGTTCTAAGTCAACGCTTTTGCAATATTTTGTATAGGGTATTGCTGCCGATACCGATTCGATGTTGCATTACAAGAGATCCATCGAAATACATGGCAATGTGTTATGCATTTGTGTGTTTGAAAACACATATTCATACTTCATTTTGGACGAGAGAGAGAGAGAGAGAGAGAGAGAAAGAGAGAGAGAGAGAGAGAGAGAGAGCGGCAACCACCAAATGCTTTTCCAAATACTTACCGAATCGAATAAATTTCTATGAGTTCTTTCCATCTCACTTCTCACATTCACCTCATACTCTCTCTTCGCATTTCCAGTTGTAATATACTGTTTTGTGTTTTGTATTATTGAAGAAGAGGCAATGTGCCAATGCCAATATTATATGGTTCGGTTCGGCTTCACCAGATTTCCAATTCGAAAAAGCGAGCGTGTAATATCGAGGGCGAAAATCTATCGAAACGTAAATGTCGAACCATAAAAAATACATATTATTCGAGATGGCAAATACACACATCGAACACGGTTGTGAAACATACATACAATACATGTATGTGAATCGAAGCAAACACAGAAGCCAACCAGCAAGCCACTACACATTTCGAGTCAATTTGGAAATTTATTTTTATTTCAAACGTCATTCGTACTTTTGACTGTAATAAAATTGAAATAATATTTATGTATCACTCTTTTCCATTTTTGTGTGATCCATGAATATAGCTGCATAGCATACACACACATGGTAAAAGTTCGGTGCTCTATATCACACCGACAGCAACCTGGCAGCAACCAAGAGAATAAAATTGAAGAAGACGACGACGAAGACGTCGAAGGAGATATGATGGTTTCATGCATGTGTGTACTGTTTTACGTATATTTGGCAAATTAATCGCTCGTATATGTGCCGTACGTATCGAATTAAGTACGACACACACAAACACACACATGGCGAAAGAAAACGTTTTTCGATTGTATCAGCCAACACCTTCATATTGCAATCTCTTTCCGTTCGCATGGGTGAGAAAAAAAAGTGCTTTATTTTACATTACTTGGTTAAATGTGAAAATCAGCTTTGCCTTTTATTTTCCGAATGTTAAACACAAAGTAAGAAGAACATGTCGAAAAAGGTAAATATGGGAATTCACATGTGGAATATGAATGAAGAAGCGCCCAGCAATGTTCCATTTGAGTTGATTCAAAAGAAGAAGGGAGAAAAACAAGCGAAACGTAATCAAGCAGCAGAAAACGTTCATTGAATGCAAGTCGTTGAAGACGACGACGATGACGACGACGGCGGTGGCGGCAGCAATACCCGCCAAAATCGTAAGTATGAATTCGACTCATCTAATTTATGGCGATTTGTGACTTCGGTTGATGTTTTTTTTTGCTTTTTCGTATACATATGTGTCACGGGATTTTCGGTGGTTCATCGTAAAATGCTAACACGTACACATTTAAACGCAGCTAAAATTGCGAGTCGAATTCAACCTCAGTGTATCGTTAGTTGAATTTCAGCACATTGTGTACTGTGATGTGTGTGCTCGATCAACGGCAACATATTTATGATGATTATGTACCTATACGTTTGAAAATAATCGACAATTTATGTGCATTTCAACCGTTATGGAGATGTAAATGCTTGTGCGTGCGCGTTCGTCTGTCCGGCTGTGTGCGTGCATATATTGTAATGATAGTAGAATATGCTTCATATGTGATGCTAACGAAACACAAAATAAACGTGAAAAACCAAAGAAAACACATAAAACAAAGGGAAAACGAGCAAACGAAGAAAAAAAATGACGAAGGAAAACAAAGTGCGCTTGAATTATTATGGGCACTTGGATATGTCGTTTGGAGTCACTCATTTTTGCTCATTCTCTCACATATGCACATGATCATTTTCTGTCTCTATCTCGTCCATTCGCCAGTTGTCTTCATTTGAAATTTTGCGCTTCGAAATGTCATTTGATTTTATGTGCTATTTGTTTTGTGGTTTAGCGTTAGGCGATAAAAGATGACGGGATTTTATTTGCATTTGGCAGAGGATGTGGCATTCTCCATCGCTCGAAGGTTGTTGTGGTGGAGCGACTAAAAAAGAGAGCGAGCTTCAGGCGGTGTGCAAATAGCTTTTGACGATCTCAAGAGTCATCCCATAATTCTCTCTCTCACTCTCTCTTCCTTCCTTCTCTACCAAGCCGGTAATCCGTTTTCCATGCGACAATCAACAGTCGAAAAATCAATTTTGATTATAGTTTATTCTGACTGGGGCTAAAACATTGCATTCGGTAAACGACCCGAAAAACTGAGAGACCAAGATAAAAAAAAAAAACACAGAGACAGAGATTGTGTATGCAGTAGATGGAAAACCCCATTAAAAGTAACCAATAAACGGACACACATGACTTTCGGCACTTAATCTCTGTTATTTTATGTGCATTTTGAAATTTACGCGCGCCGATTTTATTTTATAATGCATTATATCCGCATAACATATTTTATGCTGTTTTATTTCCAGTTTATTTCCATTTCGGGCAACATTGAAATCCTTTAGTCTGTATCTGCTCCCACTCTTTCTCTCAGTCAATGTCTATCAATATCTGGCGAAGCGTGTCTTAAACTCATTCACCGTTTACATATTACATACAGACCGAGAAAAATCGAATATTACTGAAATTGAATGATAGGATCAACATTCGATACAAATTGATTTAAACGCGAAAAAATATTACTGGAATTAAATATATTTATATATACTACTACTTCTACATGGTTGGAATAAGACGTGTGCACACGGCTGAAAAAAGTTTGAGCTTACTCAGCCTTTTATGATCTACGAACCGTGTTGGATGGCAAATCTAAACAACCATTTGGATGGCAAGAATTTATGACATCTTACAATATTATGCATGGATTGTGACACACAAGGTTGAGCACAGCTCATAAGCTTAGCTCACTTTGTTCTTCTCAATAGATAAACTGATTTGACCGCAATGAAATTTCCTTGTAACATATTACATCGCATTTAAACAACAACACATACACACAACAACAGACACATTGAACAATATATCGTAACATTGTTTGCGCGCGCATTCACACAATCAAACGAAAAACTTTTACCCATTGTGCCATTAAGTCACTTGAGATTAATGGCATTCTATTTAAAATTGAATCCAGCGAACCGCTAATATTCCCGTATTTAAGTACGTTACCATAATCAATGCAAAGAAGATGGTAACAAAATAGAATATAAAATACTGATTCAAGAAACATTTCGTTACGTTCATCCAAAACGCTTAAAAAATTTACTATCCATTTAATCGCAGAGCAAAATAAAGCGAACTTTTCATATATGTGCCGGTTTTAACGTGCCCATTTATTTGTTCGATGTTCATGTTCATTTCACATCACGGACCATCTTCAGTGTTTCATGCAATATTGGCATTTTACAAAACCAGATCATTGTTGTTGAACCACTAATATGCAAGTGAAATAAAATCCAAATTAATGTGTGGCATAGCAACGACCGAACCAGGATTAATGTTTGCGCATGTAAATTACACACCGAAAAAGATTTCGGACCTACTCTATTAAGCTATTTTCTACTCATTACTATTATTACTGTTGTCAACATTGTTTGAACAGCCAAGCACATTGCTGCCGGGTGCTGGTGATTTTCACAGGAAAAATCAGCTCGTCTGGTTCGATCGTAATTTTTGTGTGTAACGCTCTTCTTCTTTTTCTTTTTTCGGATGGAACAATTATCCATCGTCCGCTTGTAATGTATATATGTGTATACGTATTACATATCGATGATGAGAATTGCACGTGTTAAAATCCATTTGTTTTCTGGTGGTATTTAATCATTTTGCTACATTGCTGCGTTCGTCGCCAATTGGATTAAGCGCCTTTTATTGTTATTCCATTCCGAAGAGTTCATAAAAAATTGTTTGATAAGTCAGTCATTTTATCATTTGAAATATTATTGCAGCTGAGCATCATTCAATTGAGTATTATCCACTCAAGTAGAAGGTTGTTTGCTTTTAACTATGATTGATTTGTTTTTTTAAGCAAAAAAAAAACCATTTCCCCATAATTTTAATTAATGATATATTCCGTTGGTGGATGGCATTGCAAGGCAGCTCCCTCTGCCAAACAACAGTTGTACCGTGCATATAGAAGACACTGTTGTTATCGCACGCACACATCGATACATGCGCGTCAATGTAGTTCATTGTCACGCACGTGTTCTTCCACTGTCATCTGTGCATCGATTGTACACAATGCTAAAAAAAATCATTCGTCCAGAACGATTCGCAGAGTTGTTATTGTGATTTTATACGTAGAAATAAGAAACGCATGTATTTTTTGATATATTATTTTTTTCCCATTCATTCAACATTTTGCAGTTAAACTGCTTTGAAAAGGTAATCAAAAAATGATTATGTTTGAGAATAATTGTGAGTTTGTACTAAAAATAAAACTGTTTTCTCTTTCCATCAGACTGAATACACTAGTTTTGCAGTAAAACCTGTTTTAAGGTTAGAATAAATAATGTCGAATATCCCGGAGAAATATGATGATGATTTAAAGTTGATTCATAATATTTGCCTGTTCAACAAAGATCAAAAGGCATTTAATTGTGAACTTGAGCAATTTGATAAAAATGCATTGCGAGCATACATTGTTTTGGCATCGTATATCGATCAAAAATCACCGTTAGTCGCTGCATTCGACAATTTTTCACAGCTGCTAACCGTTTTGGTGCCGGATCGATTTTTTTCCAAATTGAATGAATCCAAAAAGCTGCTGGACTGCGATAAAAACTTGAGCACATATCTAATCGACGCATTTGAAGTAATGGCTAATGCAACAAATTGTGTAAAAACGGAACAATTTTACGTGAATTGCCATGCAAATCTACGAATTGCATTAAAAAATGAGCACCCCAATGTGATATCGATTTATCTACAAATTCTACATCGATTGGATCGAGTTTTTGAAACAAAAACTCCAATTGAAATATTGAAAACAATTATTGAAGCCGTTCATGGTCCAATCAATGATGTAAAACTGTTAAACGAAGCATTGCTTTTGATCGAATCGAATCTACAACAGCGACATAACCTCGCTGACCAATCAATGGCCAATGCGCAACTATTGAATTTCATGTGGCAAAATTTGTGCTCATCAAGAGTGGCAAAACATCAATGCAACATTTGCTATACCATCATTTCACAGCTCATTAAAATCTACATCAAGGAATGTCAAGTGAATGAATCATTCTGTAATTCATTCTTATCCAGTGAAATTTGGCATTTTATTCGTGCTGCCATTGAATCGAAGGAGATGGTTCGACGCAAACAAGCAATTTATATATTGCAAAATATTTTGGAAACAAATCAAAAAGAAATTATGAACACCGACGACATAAGCGATGCCACCGATACGGATTTGCAGAATATTTGGAAAAATTACTTTGCCATATTGGAAAGTTTGCTGGAAATTCAATGCCATTTAATAATATCCTGTTTGGAACAATATCTCGATGGCATTGTTAAATATTTACCACAATTTTGGTATTCAATCATATTTGCATTGATTTTGAAGCATCATAACAATGTCGTCATTCACTATGGCATCGAATTCATTTTGCATCGTGGAATACTGTTGCAGCACGATAGTCATCTATTGAATGGATTCTATCAGGCATTGAACAACACTTATTTACATTCCGAAGCAAAAATATCCGAAGAAAATTTGGCGAAATATTTTCAAAATTCCGATATGAATCATACGTTGGATATAATGTTGTTAATTAGCTGGCAACCAGTTCCATTGTGGACAGTCATCAAATCGATTGATATTTATGTGCAATTAAATAAGGGCGTCGGCTTTCAAGTTCAAATACTACTTGATTTTCTTAAGCGTTCAGTGCGTGTTATTAAGAATATGCCGGTGAGTTAATTTATTTGTTTTTTTTTTTTACACCTTGGATATCAATTATGGCATCGGTAAGGAATAATGCTATCATATTTTTCACAGGAGGTGGACGATATGACGGTGAGCATTTTGCAAAATATTGGCATCAACAAATTGACATTGGAACAAGTGCTTGGATTGTACGATATAATTCCACGTACTGAAATACTGGACGGTTATAGGCAACCGCTTGATTTGCAAAAATTCGAACTGAATTTCGTTCAATTGAATAATATTTCAATTGAAACAAAAATCAATTATTTTCGGCACGCAATACCGGTTATTAAGGATCAATCAACATTGTTGGACGAATTTTATGAGAAAAATCGTTCGATGATCTGTTACTTTCCACACTATGAATTTCTACTCTTCAATAATATGTGCACGGAGAAATCGTTGAAGGATGCATTGTTCGTGCTCAAGCCGCGCATTTATAATTTGATGAAACCACATGGTAACATAACACTTGAAGCACTCAACTTTTCGGCATCTTTACTCAAATTTGTTGTCGATAAATTTGCAAGTGATTGCAGTGATGCAGCAACATTTGATGCAATCAACAAAACGGTGGTCAATTTTCATGATGTCATTCGCAAGAAATTGTATGTCGACGGTCATACGAATAAATTGAGCGAAATTAAGGAACAATTGACAACGATCAGCATGAAAATGACCAAATGCATTGAACTCTATCCGAATAAGTTGGCCGTTTTGGGCGTGTTGGCCGATGTTATGATGCTTGAAAATGAAAATATTGATTTAGTAAGAATTTTATTTATTCAATCAAGGGTGATAAATTTATAAGCCGAAAATCAGTTTGAGTTTCTATGGAAATGCGTTTATTTTTATGTTCAACAGAGCCGTTTCAATCCGAACAATGAAAATGATGTGAGAGCTATCCAGGGACTATATGACTGCTTCATCGATAAAAGCTATGAATTTAAACCAGCTCATCAGGCCAATGTGGTGCTTAAGTGAGTAGTGAATTTAATTTAAATTTGTATAAATGAAAAATTGATTGACAGTCGGATATAGTAAATAATTTACATTACCATGATTGCAGAATTCTAAGTAATTTCCGTCAGTTGGAATTGGACATTTGGAAAGCGTACCGTATATTGTTGGCTGGAAAGCTGGATGTTAGTTGCATATTCGAGCAAACGCATTCATATACTGCATGTAAAATTGATGAAATACTTGCTGATGCTCTCATTTATGGGGTCGAACTGAAGGGTGAAGAAAAGTAAATGTTGATACAATATGTTCAATATTTTTTTTATATGCTCGTTGTTTTTAACATCTTTAAAATCCATGTTTCAGACAGGCATATGATTTCGTGTCATCTAAATCTGGGTGAGTCTTACAATATCAATCGTAAAAATTTTAACCACATCGAAATAAAAACATGGCAATAATTCATTCTCTTTCAAATCCAGTTCCATAACATACAATCAAAAGGTTCGTTTAACTGCAATGCGTGCTATTGCAGCAAAACAGCAACTGGAGCAAATACAAAATGTGAAAAATCTATTGTTTACTAAAAATACCGAAATCTATCGTGTTCGGTATTACACTAACTCCCATCACCATTCGATGAAATTACGAATCACACAAGCATTGGCATTTTTATTCCGTCTCGATCCAAAATGGGATGGCCGTATGTTAGATATAATACTAGAAGAGGCAAATCAAACGAATGTAACACACATCAATGAGTTGATTTTGGCCGAAACTGTTGATCCATTGCATATGCTAACAATGATTGAAAATGTAAGCAATTTATTACATTGGATTCCGGTTAACCATTGTCATTGATGCATTTTCATTTCTTTGTTTTCAATTTAGATTGAAGGTAACAAAGGATTGCAGTCAATGTTCATGATGATTTACTATGTGTGCTCAAAAGATCCATCAAACATTCACTTTGCAAGGGAATGCATTGAATTCCTCATCAAATACATCTTCGTGAAACAAATAATCGTTCGTACGTCGGCTCAGATTGTTTTGATTAAATTGTGCGAAAAGTTCGATTTGATAAATGAATTCAAAATACTTTATGATAGCACGAAAATTGCGCACGAAGTCAAAGTGAGCCGTGCCCTTAAATTTTCGTATGCGTACAAATATCGTTTCGAACAAATCGATGCAAATCAAATGCTTCACACCATGTACACATTGAGAGAGATTCCACGAATCACAAAAATGTTTTCCGACGAGTATTACAAACATGAAATCTTCGATTCAGAAGAGAGCAATATGGCGATCAACATGGACGAAGATGAAAGTCTAACAGCACAAGAAAGCGTCGATGTTGAGATGGCTTTCATTGAAAATGGCGACGATACAATCATTCATCACGGCCATGGTGGTAACGTTCAACGAAAATTGGTCACCTATCGTGAAACATTCATTGATCGACAGATTTTAAATAGTTTATCAGATGAATTTATGCGCAGAGACATGGTAAACAATTTTTATTTATTTTATTTTCGTATTTAAAACAAATTTTATTGAATTATATTTATCACCAGAAATCCGATAGCAATCTCATTATTTTGGCAAGTCTTTTAACGAAGCCAGCTAATTTGGGCGGTCTTTCACGTGCTGGTGAAGTGTTTGGTGTTAAATCGATTGCTTTGGATAACCTTAAGCATTTGAAACACAATGATTTCACATCAATCAGGTAATTTCAATCAAATTTAGCCATTAAAACGAAATTGAACATTTGAACATTTACAAAGTAACCACTCTGCAACTGCATTCAATTCAATTTTTATTCGCAACAAAATTCAAATAAATAAAACTTTTGATTTATATTTAATCGTCGGATTTTTAGCATGGCATCTGAGAAGTGGGTTAAATTTCTAGAAGTTAAACATTATAACGTTATAAATTACTTGATGGCAATGAAAGCAAGTGGATATGCTATTGTTGGCGCTGAGCAAACAGCATTCGGCGATGAATTGAATAAAACGTCGTTACCAAGAAAAATGGTCTTGGTTCTTGGGTATGATTTGAGCTAAAAATAAACAGATTTCTGTTTCAATCATTAAAATGAGATTTGGTAAATTGCATTACTTTTGTATTTTTTTTGGTACCTATTTTAGTCATGAAAAGGATGGCATTCCAGCTAATATACTGAATCTGTTGGATATGGCAGTTGAAGTGCCACAATTTGGCGTTGTTCGATCGCTGAATGTACATGTAACTGCGTCATTGTTTATGTGGGAGTATTGCAAACAACATATCATTGCAGATGCCAAAATCAATATCAGCCGCTAAAAGAGAATTATTTTTGTTTGAAAAGCAGTTCTTATCGCGAAAAGAGTATTAACTTGTTATTATAAATATTATACTTTTTCTAATAAGAAAAATGAAAAATACGCAGAAAAAATCTCATCTTGTTAAAATAAAAAAAAATTGTTCAATCAAATTGAGTAAAAAATAATGCCAATTCGCACTGTAAATTATGAAATGATAAATTTTATATTTATTATAAAAAATTTCTCATTTTATGGAACGTATTTTATCGAAACTAGAGAACAACCAAAAGAATTTGATATAATTTCGAGTTTCCTTCGAGTTGATATAGAAAATATAATGTGGGATATATCGGATAGATATATATCTACCATATGGTATTTAAGTTCTATTTGGTGCCTTAATTATTATTTCACCTTCCCTTAATTTTTTTGGTAAACTCTGAAATGGTCCTGGAATGTGATCACATCCACAAACATCTGGTTCTGCCTACCGTCGCATAGATTCTCGATCAGGCTGATAAAATACTAATTTAAAGTACGTTCCATAAAATAATAAAAATGTAAACTTGTCAAAATCGAAAAATATTGTATATGATCAAATCGATTTAAAAAAAATCCAAAATCGCATTGTTAAATTATGAAATGTTAAATTTTATTGCGATATAATTTTATTAAATACATTTGGAATCGTCGGCGGTACTTTGTATGAGTTCACAACAATCTTTTGTTATTGTTGTGGTTCTTGAAATAAAATTAAAAAAAAAACAAACATCTTCAATGAAGATTCTTCATTCTTACTTAAATCACAAAAATAAATCTGTTAGCATGTGTTCTGAAGGTTGACTTTTTCATAAACATAGTCAGTTTTTTCTTCATTCGAAATTCAATTAATTTATTAATAAATATTTGCCGTTTACTTGGCATATTATTGTTTTCTTTTTTTTTAGTTCAATATAAAAGGAGTTTAACGTAATTCCTCTAAAAGCATGAAATTACGTATAGGGTAGATGGGATGAAAATGTCCTTCGACTAGAAGTGATGAAGTTGATTTATTCTTTTTGTTTGGATGCATTATCTCCGACAATTGTGTGTAGAAAATAGTTGTATTCTGTTTAAAAAAAAACATTTTCAAAACTATTTTATTCAGGATTTCAAATAGTTGGTAGTTGCTTTTCCTTTTAAATTGGTTGATTTCATATATTTTATTGTGAGTTGTTTTCAAATGCGTTCAATTGATATGTTATTCTTTCGTAATTTGAACAACGATAAATTTTCCAAATTTTTTGAAGCATTATTATTGTGTGAGTTTCTGGATTGATGCACTATCATTTCAGTCGTCTACAATGATAGCTAAGCGGTTTGTGTTTTAGAATTAAAAGCCCTACAATTGATCAATGTGGATCAACCAATTTAAGCAGTCTAAGGTAATCATTTGTTTTTCTTTTGTTATGTTATGAATGAGTTATGGTTGAAATCAATATGTATTTCGTTGTGATTTCCAAAGAAAACTAATTCTCTGTGCCATTCTTTATAGGCCATGCTTGCTTCGCTTTCATTTAATCTAAACAATATTTATTAGTTCAAGACCTCCAATAGAAGTTGATCACATTAGTTAATCGTTAGTTTTAGTCCATAGTGGCTCTAGCTCGCATTAGTAACGGTGGAAATCGGTATATTAGGGTTTGACATTAAGTAGTTGTTTGTGCTCGGACGCTACTTGTGAAACTATTGGTTATTTCACCAATAAGCTGCCCATTGAATTGGGAAATCTTTTTTGGCTTTGTTGTTGTCGGCGGCGGCGGAGTGGTCGGTATTTTCGGTAAATCAACCAAATTGCATGGTATTTTTAATTGATTATAGATTTCTTCGACACGTCGAACCAACCGATCGGAATATTTGTGCGCCGTATGATCCACAACTGAAATATAAAACACCATTCATTTCACATTCTTCATTCTGAAAATGTTCAAATTAATGAACTTTGTAATAGAAATGGGTTGAAAATCACCTGAAGGTGCTTTGATACAATCATCTCCGCCAAACTCACAGACCTATGGGTAAAAGTAGAGACGAAAAATAAAGTCGAAAATAAGATTTTGAGAAAAAAAAAATAAAAATAAAAAAATAGATACTAACACGATAGTGATGTAAAATCCCTGCATCAGCCGGAACATTGAGCGAGCCTCGGCCCGTTATAAATTCCCAAACAAAATGATTGCCAGCTTCAACAACAGCTTCTGGCTTGCAAATATACTTTGATCTTTGCTTTTGTGGATGCAATTTGGCGCGTCTATAAAAGAGAAATTGACCATATGATTACTTACATTCGAGTAATTAAACAGCGATTGCGACGTATAAATTCTCCTTAGCTTACTCGGCAATACAAACCTTCTGGTTTTTCGTTGCGTGATCAAAGCCGCCCGCAGAGCTGGATTAACTGTGTTATCGTGCGAATAGACAACCGGGTCGTCCGGGAATTGTAAATAGAAAAATGAATTTTGGAATGAATACGCTCCCGTATTGCGGCCATTAATTCGAAATTTCATCCACCTGGAATTCAAATGACTTCAATGATATTGATTAAAATGGATTTCAATGTGATATCATTATCTACAAATCGTCATTATTTCTTACTTCAATAGTTCGCTGATTGTATTATTGTATCGTGGAATGATGAATTCGTCTAAATCAATAAGAGCAAGGTGCTGATATCTGTTGAAATGAACAAGCGAAAACGAACCAAATGAATAATTGATAAAGATGTTCTCGAGCAAATAAAACGTCAATCAAATCGAGTTGGATAATTACGGTACGGACATTTGTTTCGTTCAATTGAAGGGAATAAAAATGAAATAATGCTAAAAAAAAGAATAAAAATAGAATACCTGTACATGTTTCGATAGACGCAATCATTCAAGGCTGCGAACAATCCTTCGGTTCGAATATCCCTTTGTGAAATCATTCTCAGATCCCATGGCAACACATTGATAGTAGCCCTTTGATTTGCAATCGGACGACGATATTCGCTTTTCGATCCATTTGTTGCATCGCCCGTTAAGAAATCCCCATTCATATAATGCTTGAGTACACATGACGCCCTCGAACCAAGTGTATGGTTGTAAAATGTGAAATGTGATGCTCCAAGAAGTGTGTTTAATTCGAGAAATTCGAGCAAATGCAATGCCTGCATTGAGAAATGTACAACAAGAAAATTGCAATTCGAAAAATTTGAGTTTGATTCAATGTGAATGGATAGAAACAAAAAAGAAATCTGCAATTCAATGGCGTTAGTTTTGTTGTTGTGCAAAATCTTACCGAATCATAATCAAAATGGAAGGGTTTCACACAAACGGCAATTTTATCTGGAATGTTTGTGATATGTGTCGTATTAACTAAATCGACATCGTCATCGGTATTTCGAACCAAAAGCACATTTCCCGGCGGTGATCGAAGTCTACTGACAACGCTTACTGCATATGGAACGGATATATCAGGCGCTGTTACCGGGCAAAGCACAAAGCACGCACTATATTTCAAATTCCAATTTTCACGTATCACCTGTTTTAATTTATAGGAAACGAATGTGCATCACACATTGGAATGATTCGATGCGAATAAATTTATTAAATAAATCACATAAACGATGTCAGATGAAGAAACGTGCAAACATTCGTATGACATACCTTAACTCGTGCCATAACAGACACCGATCTATAGTTTGGAGTAGTGGCATTGCCAGTATTATACACGAAACGACACCACACTTTTTCTGGTACGCGAGTTTTCGTTGCACCGATGATACGTATCAATTTTCCAGCCCGTCGATCGTAGAAGGCAGAAAAAACGAAAAATTTATACCTTGTTCCGTTCACAATTTGCCAGGAACCGTCGATTGCTTTCATATCACTAGCATAAGATGGTAATGTTCGTTCAATATTCACAGGTAAAACCGATCCCCATGCCACCACACTTGGAATTGCGTTTGAATGCCGTTCGCTTGTGTCACCTATAAACGAAGCACAAGAAATATGGTCTCTTATTTAGTAGAGAAAAAAATAACACTTTGGGGAAAAATTTATTTCGACACATTTCAGAGAAAACATGATTTTGCACTTTTGTTGTTGTTGTACCCCATTTGATATTAATATTATTATTATTCAATTTATGTCTTAATAGATTTTTTTCCATTTTTATAGATCTGTATATAAGGTATACACATGAGACTTACTGCGATGTTTATCTCGATTTCGATTTCGTAAGAATACCGCATCTTCAATGCCGTATTCATCTTTGACGTCCTCATAATCTGGTATCGATTCACCGAAGCGATTGAAGCCCGTGTTTCGTAAATTTCCGCCACTGCCGAAACTTTGTGATTTATTTTTTTCATCAATCATCAGTATTTCAGTTAGTATGATCAATGCAAAAACGGTGAAAAATGCAATGACAATTAAAAAACTCATGCCAGCACGTTTTTTCTCATTCCATTGGCGTTTGTAGTTTCGTTTATTGCGGCCACCAAATGTGCTGCCAAGCAAATTCAATTTACTGCCATCCGAACTGTGTGAATACATTTTTGATATCATTTCATTTAGTGCCGCCAGTACCACCACCAACAAACTAAATGCCAAACATTTCCTCAGTATTGTGCTACCATACTGCAATCAAAATCATACGTTAAATGAGGATTTTCCGTGTTTCTGTAATAGGAATAATCATAATTTTGTTCAATAACAACCATGAACTTTGGTGAAAGAAAGCAATAAAAAAACATGAAAAATCAATCGTGGTATTCCAATTTATGGTGTGCTTGTTTTCATATTTATTGAAAATGAAGAAAAAAAAACAAAAGAAAATTAAAAACGCAATACGGCAATGTGTGTGTGGACATGCAATCTGAAGCAAGACGAAAAAAACAATCCGATGAAATTGTTCTTTTGCTTTATTGACATTCATCGAAAACAAATATTGAGAGCAACTACAACGAGCCAACAAAAAATCCAAACAAACTTTGATTAATTAAAAAGTAAACGATGTCGACTGCGGTGTACGTGAGTTTCTAATTATGCAAATAACAAATGAAATTAAAGCGAGTGCGCGAATGAGAGCAAGAGAGGGAGCATGAAATATATTGTAGAACCAAACAGGTTGGTGATTCGGTGTCTCTAATGATATCGTTATTTCATTATCACTTATTAGCTTTATGAAGGAAATTACCAACTTCCGAGCCAATATTAATTGTAGTGTTTTGAGTCGACGTGAAAAGTGTTTACGTATTGTTATCATCTATAGCAATCGACAAATATAATGAGAAAACATGGTATTCATTTGATGTGACACTGTCCTACATAAGGATATATGTCCTATCACATATGTGATGTAATCATTTGCTTGTTCAACGCACACACAACAAACTTGCTACTTGTTTGCTATAATTTTGCTTCTTGCTGTTCTCTCTCTCTTCCTCTTTCTGTCCCTCTTTACTCCAGGTCTACCGTGAAAATTCATTACACATCTTGCCTTGTGTGCTATTCAATTCTGTTTGATGTTTAAAAACATAAAAAAAATGTTTCCTTCTGTTTGAACATTGATTTTTCTGCAAATACAATTGCATAGGGAATAGAATGGGAGAGTGTACAGAAAATTGTACAAAAATTTCGTGAAAGATTGCACCGAAAAATGTGAAAGAAAAAAATTCTTTAAAATCGTGCGAAAATAGAACAAGATTCGCGTTTTATTAAAACAAACACACCATTTCCGAGAATAATAAAACATTTGCTAGAATGTAGCCAAACAAAAGACAGCATATTAAATTTACCTTTTTTTAGTCGGCCATTTCTGCACACGAGTCCTGAGTCGCTGTATCGTGTTGTTTGATGGATATATCGTTGTTTCTGTTGCTGCCGCTGTCGTTTGTCCCGTTATTATTACGATTTAGCTATTTGCAGAAACAACAAAATACCGCTCTGCTTCAGAGATGGATAGAATCCACGGAAAAATAAAATAAAATAAACACAACTGAGATAATAAGCTTCTCTGGCTCTATGACGAATCGCTTTCTATTTCACTGCGAAAAAAAATCAATACACCATTGTAAATCTATTATTATTTTTTTGTGATTCTCACTCTCGGCAATTTTCCACCAATATTTTTTTTTTGTATCAAAAAATCAACAATTCAACATTTAATTAATTTTGAGTGTTGAAAACTTTTTTGATTGCGAACAAAAACTGCATAATTATATGCGATTATATCGAATAGATGGTTGACAACCACGATGACAAATTTTCATTTGGCTTGTGCGAACCGTTCGAATGTTCACGGTGGACTCTAGCGATGCACACGCGTTTCTCAATTTGTATGCGAATGAAAGAGAATGAATTATAATCAACAAAAAATTGTTGGATGTTTGGTTTGAAGGAGAGAATTCTCGTTCTTTGTCCGCCACCAGGCAAGTGAATGCCAAACGGCATATATATTCATTTCATGAATGGGAATGCGCATGCACCCTTGTGTAGACGTTTCATTTCTCCTTAGTTGAGTATGTAAAGCATGTGACACATTGAACAGTTGTTCAATTGTTATTTTGGTTTTGGAATAAAAGAGGGTAAGATCTCCCTTTTGGTTGACATATGGTAGACTACCATTGGTAGTTTACTATCTATAAACTAGGTGAACTGTGGTTTTCAACTTTGAAATCTCACAAGAAAATTACGATTGTATTCTATCAATACATAGAGGTCGCTCAGGTGCTATGAGCTATGTGACAGCGACAACTCAACAGTTCATAACATGTGTTTCATTTGACGTTTGTAGTTCTTTTATTGCATTACATTCACTTCAAAGTTTTTTTTGTAAACAATAAGTCGTGTCGAGTGTGAAAAATTCTAGTTTTAACAACAAATAGTGGATTTTTGTGGTAAGTTGAGTGAGATGTTCATGTATTTCGTTGTCATTCGTTTCCATAATTTGCAAGAATTTCAATTGTGATGTATCCGTACGTTTTTACTGGATATTTGTTAAAAGGTTAGGGTTATGTATATTCACAGGTTGCTTTCGTCATATATTTCCAATAAATCGAATGTGTGCAATTAATGAAAACGATTTCAACCATGTAATTACTTGTGATTAATGTACATGGTCGAGTCCAAAATAGTTGCCACTCAATCAAGACTAAAAATAGTGCAAGTGTCATGCAATTTCACCAAAATATATACTAAAACATGAATCGTCTCTGAAATTAAAATACCAAAGTAATTGTATTTTGTTGCTTAGCGATGAAATAGTGCCAAATACGATAGGCCTATTTGCAATTCCAATGATCTGATTATGGTATGTTTTTCATATATCTATTTATGTTTATCCATAAATTGAATAAAATATTCGCGTTCAACAGCTTAACAATTGACGTCACAATTCGTGTACGATTCGTTTGAAACTCAAAATTGAATTCTCCACGAGAAAATTGACGCTCTGGCTTGCATGTTTCGTTCGCATAACAAATATTGAATTTCATTTTAGTTTGTTCTTATTATTGTTTTTGAGGCAACAAAACTTCCACTCTCCAAAAATAACAAAAATACCAACTCAAGCATGAATTGGATCTTCAGAATCAGAGTTGATTCGTGTTCGTTTAATCGAAACAAACTCAGCATTAGCCAACAAGTTACAACCGATCAAATATATTTCACATTGTCTTTAATCAGTTAAGTAAAGACTGGTTTTATTCGAAAGAGATACTGCATTTATAGTTGATGTGGTATACCATTGGTATTTGTGTGCATTGGCATCGTTACGGGTAATCAATTGCAGTCGGTTGTGTATCTCATAGTAATGTGTCGTCATCGTAACTGAAATCAAATTACATAGTTGATTTGATTTGATTGTATTTCAAATGAATGCCATTGCACAAACCAAAAGAATTCCATGAGAATTGGCCAAACATGCAACGATATACAATAACCATATGAAAGTGATTCAATGTGTATTGGACTGTTTGGCAAATTATATACATTTCGACAAACCCCCTCACTTGATTTCATTTCTGTCATATAGAGTGGCGAATGTGAATCTTGACGCGCAGGTTGATACAAATACACACACACATCCAAGTACCAAATTGTATATTTTCTCTGTGCTGGAGAAAATTTCAAGCACCGCGTCGACAATTCGATCTGAAATCAGTCAAGCACAAAGTGTTTTGGCTTGTTTTTCTGCTTCTTCTTCTTCTTCTAATATTTCTTTATTATCCGCGGTTGGTTGTTCGCTTTGAAACGAATGACGATATGAGATTTTCTTTGTGTATGTGAGTAAGACGCGCGCGAGCGAGCGAATGGAGCAAACATTGAATTAAATGAAATTCGTATCAGAAGCGGCAACGCCATACATACACAGCAGAAATGTGAAAATGTGTATACGATGTATTGTTATAGGGAAAATGAAATATACACGCATTTTGGCGTTGTTGGCCTTTTCCACAACCAAAACCAAAACTCAGTAGCTGATTCACTTCTGTGCTGTTTAGTTGAACATAGACTATTTTTCCCTCTTTTTAGTTTGTACATTTTTTCTTCATCTTCTCTAGTACAAGCAATGCTTAATTTTCAAACGTATACAAAAAATTTACCGCAGTGTAAACGTTGAAAAAAACAAAAGCAGAAAAGTGCAATTTTTTAGCAAATGAAATACGGCCGCAAATAAACATTGACAACAATTAAAGATATACAAGCGCTTTAAATATCTATTTTGGCAAAAAGTACGCGACGACACCATCCACAAACATTCGAACTCATTTCAAAGTGACAAAAGGGCGAACCAAGAATAACCACAAGAATTGGATTGTAGAAAAAAACACACACACACCAAGAGTGATACAGTATTTACCCCATTCTATTGTTAGATTTGAAAAAAAAAACCTCACTCATCGTTAAAAAATATATTTCAATTTTACGACAGTCAATTGACATTGTCATTGTTTAAATTAAAGCGTGTTGTGATGAATTGAATCAATTTTTTTGCGTTTTTCATTTTGAAACGAACAATTTTTTCAAGTGACTTTACAAAAAAAAAAAAAAACATTTCCGGCTATATCTTAAAAATAAAATTCTCGATTCGACTCCGTTCATAACATTCAATTTTAATATAACGAAGAAAATAACATTCCAGTGGCTTTAAAATCTCGTAGTTAGTGCGTGTTCAGTGCATCGAATTATATAATAAAAGAAACATATTATACAATACATTGAGAGAGAGAATAGTAGAATTGTAGCGAGACACATAGAATATATATATAAATCCCCATGAGCTACGAAAACCACTTCGAATTCGAGCATTATTGTTGAGCTTATTGCTTATTGTGGCATAAACACTAGTTTAGTTCACGTGCGCACAAAAATTGTTGTAAAGTTTTTGTGCGGAAATTTATTTAATCGAACAAAATACGCTGAGTACGACAAAAAAAGCTTTAATTGTATGCATTTTGTCTAAATTTAATTGTAGCATATTGATAAAAATACCACTTATTACGTAGTTATATCATTAACATTGAATGGACACCAAGTTCACACGGATTATTTGTGAAATTTCGAGTGAGTACGAATATTACAAGATCGTGTAAAATAAAATGTCACGTATCGCCACCTATTATTGCATAATTTTATCTGCATATGAATGAGACAGCTTCATTTTAATTGTGTATGGAATAATAATGTGTGCTTAAAGAGATTTTGATGTGCATCCAAATAAATAATACATCGCAGCGTGTAACAAACATAAATTTCATCAAAATTACACGATACAACACAATCATCAAATATATCACGAACAAGAGAGACACACACTTTTTTTCGACAATGAATGGATGATGTGAATGTGGCAGATATCTTTGTGAATCGCGCTTGACACCGTGCAAATGTAATCCAAACATCAACTAGCGAGAATACTTATCACATTATCATCTGTTATTTTAAGCACACATCAAAATTCTTTCCCAACGATATAAACACACACACACATTGCGAAATGTGACGGCGAGACTGAAAGAGTCAACAACGAAACAACGAACGAATGGTGTGCAAGTTGAATTGTATGAGACCCGCCGCTTTTGTTTTGTGAAACGAAAACGCTACGTGCATAATAGAGTAAAAGAGTTCAAGTGACTTTAATAACTTTCAACAGCACAAAGAACATTCGATAAACACATTCAGTGGTGGTTGTAGGTTTCTGTTTTTTTGCATACTTTTCCCCCCAGGCCGTGTACAAGAGAAAGTGAATGAATGAACAAGAAAGACACTCTGAAAAATACGTCGTCGTGTATATATCGTGAAATGACAAATGTCAATGATACTTTATATAAATTGGCTTTCAAAAGACCATAAATTACGAACAAAATCGCTTGTGTAATTTTTCTCTCTCTCTAAATGAACTAAAAACGTCAAAATTTAGTAAAAAAAAAAAGTCGGAAAAACGCTGGCTTTGCGCTTGATTTATATGACACGGAATTGATTTTCTTGGGTACAAAATTAAATAACTATGTGAAAAATGCTTATTTTCCAAGTGAAATAATTGTTTGAGTGAGTGTGAAAACGGTCTGACTTTTCAAAAGTGACTTTAAGAGAGACACTTTTCAAATGAATTTATTCGATGATATGTCGGTACAATCGTTAGTTGAATTTAAAGGTGTAGATCATGCTCGCAGAGCAAAATCATACGACGACCATTACAATACAAGCTGTCGAAAATGGTACGAATTCTCAAAACAAACAGAGGTCGCCGGCCAAAAAATCCAACGAACATCGTTATCATCGTTCCAACTATCCGGCAAGCAACACCAGCACCACCAGCAACAGCAGCAGTAACAATAATACGAGTTCAAATACCTCATATTCAAGCACTCCGACCACAACCGTAGTTTCGAGTGATACAGAAACCGAACCGAAAATTGGCCAAACATCTTGGGTGTCATTTCAGGATAATTTGAATGATAATTACTTGGAGCGCGGTCGTCGAATTCATGGTCTACAATTACCATTGCATCCACTGCAAATAAGCGGTTGGGTTGCTCTATTCGGTTTTGGTGTATCAACATTTTGTGTTCTTATTCCCGCATTGCATCCGGATTTACAAGGTCCACTGTTTATAATCGTATCCAGTTTGTATGTAATTCATGGCTGTTCACATGTTGCAGCACTTTTAATCGATCCATCTGATTCGGAACTACGCAAACAAAGCTCAAATCGTATTGTACCTGAATTCGATCGTACAAAACATGCACACGTCATTGAAAATGGACGATGCCATTTGTGCAATATAAAAACAACGAACTCTCGTACCAAACATTGTAGCGTTTGTAACAAATGTGTAGCCCAGTTCGACCATCATTGTAAATGGTAAATAATACTCTTCATTTTTCTCGTTTTCTTAAGTTTCTTTTGTTCGAATTTCCTTTCGTATTTTTGTTTGTTCCACTTGACACTTTGTCATTCACAAGAATTTTCTATTCTATCTCGGAAGGACAGCGAGAAGAAAAGAAGTATTCTACCTATTTCTATTGTTATTCAAAAGCTTTTCTTTTTCGATTACCTCAATCTAATTTAATTACATTGATGTGCGTCCCAAACAGGTTGAACCATTGCGTAGGAGGAAGAAATTATGTTGCATTCCTTATGTGCGTGGTGAGTGCCGTAATTGCGGCCATGGTCATTTTGGCCGCTGTTGTTGCCGAACTTGTTCTCTACTACATGAAATCCGAATGGTTGACCCTTTGGTCGGCCGCCTCAACAGCGAACTTAACAAATACAACCGATGATGTCAACAAAATCGATTCAATTTCATCGGCCGTTTTTAACGAAACATTTTTTGCTGCAATAAATGATACAACCATTTCACCCGACACTGTATTTAATGTTACCGATACGTTATTCAATGGTGTGGCTAATGAAAAAGCAACAAATGTTACGACTGGTATTAGCCTAAACGACACCATTTTCTTGACATTTATTTCAATTATTGGTATTTTAGCGGCGATTACCGTTGGACTATTACTTCATTTGTGCTTTTTTCATGTGTACATTTCATTTTTGGGCCTAACCACATATGAATACATACGAAATCAACGACAACATGAATCACAAAAACAATCCAAGAGAACAATACCAACCACCACCAATAACACGTCTGGTAATAATAAAACAACACTGAATGCCTTGAAAAAGTCATCAACGGCCAATAAAATCTATTTTTGTTCACACATCGATCCGAAAAATCTAGTTGAAAATCATAATACAACGGTAAAACATCGACCAAAATCGATTTATTGCTGTGATACATCGATGCAATATGATAATTCAACGCATGCAGCTTTCTATTTTTGTTCAGTATTGCATGACCGGCCATCGCAAATTCTCGTACCGTCAACAATACATGAGCTATCAGTGAATAGTGGCCGTTCAAGCCATTCGAAAACCTTCCATTGTTGTTCTGAGTACAAACAAATTGTTCGATTGTCCAATTCCAATGATGGTGATGGTGGTCCGTCTAGTCAAGGTGGCTATAGTAGTAGTGGCGATGAAATCACGCACAACCATGAAACAATAACCGAAACATCATCGTCATCAATTGCAACGACAGATGAATATGTAAAATTTATGGAACAATGCACATTTTGTAGTTTCAAATTAAAAACAAAAACGAAAAAATCAAAAGTGGCAGCGATCGAAACGAATCCACCACAATCAATAAATAATCAACGTACCGAAATCGATTTAAAACCGATGCGAAAACAAAAATGGAATTGTTGCTCGAATGTGCCCGAAAGTCCGGACTCCGACATATCGGTTGGCGAGCAAATTGATACAATTTCAGCATCAATCGATCCAAAAGCCAATTATAATCACATAAATCATCGTTTACGTGGTTCGTACGATGAGCATAAATTATATGCAAAAAACGGTGCCAAACCAATGAATCAAATAACAACAACAAAATTAACAACGAACGGATCGATGATGGCAAAGCCAATCAAAGAAAGTCGAAAGAATCGGTCGTCGCTATCAACAAGCTTAAAAGGTGGTGGCAATCATCGAACGCGTGCAACAACACAAACATGGCCGATTCGGTTACGGCATATGCTACGAATGTTTGGTCGATGTCAACAACCGCATTATCCAAACGATTCTCATGTAAATAACGGTAATAACTCACGACACCGACCACCATCTCCTTCACCACGACGAAATATTAAACAAAATCAAGTTCGACCGATGAATATGCTTGAACAACAATGCGAAGAATTGCAACAGCAACGTCGACAACAACAACAACAATGCCAACATCAACTGCATAATATGCCAAATCATTTGCATAAAACCGCATTGACGGCAGGACGAGACAATAATTTGGAAACGAATAATTCACCAAATGAAATGAAAATGATTACAACACCAGCACCACCACCGCCCATTCGACGGAAAATTTGTAGTGCATCGGCCGATATGCAAGAATTGGCCGAATCACTGTCCTTTGTACAAAATCCGTCGACCCATCATCACCATCACTATCCGTCCAGAGTGAACAAACAAAAGGAACAAATACAAAAAGCACAACAACGTCCAATACTTGCAATCAGCCGAAAACGGCGTAAAAATATTTTCCGTAGCCCAAATTTGTCACCCATCCATGAGTCTGGCTACTCGAATCCAACATCACCAAAACCATGCCGTCACGGATCAACACAGGAAAGTGAATCGAGTGCATCGACACCGAAAATTTCCCACCAATACCGATAATATTACAATTTAACGAACAAAAGAAAAACAAAATGCAAAGCAAAAAAACTAAACTACGTAATACAATTCCATTCCAAAAAAAAACTTATGCAATGACGAAGACGACAACGATTCAAATGCCAAACAAGAGAAGAAAACATTTAGTAAATATTGCATAAATTTTAAATTAAACGAACTCCATTCAAATTTCTATTTCAGGCTGCTAAAAATATGTTACAACACATACATATAGTATAGATAGACTCAATTCTTTTTTGCGATGTACATTTTTGGGTTACAAACACTTTTACTAATTAACGTATTTGAAATCTACCAAAGAACAAAAATAAAGAGAAAAAAAAACACTCGGTTAATTGAAAACGAAACTAAACTAACTGTATTTTGCGAATTAAATAAGGGCATTTTTTGTGTTATAAATATAAATGTAAAGCCAAATGCAGATAGATGTGCCGTGCCGAGAATAGTTGAATAAAAATATTCAAAATGCAAGTGTTGTAAGCATTTACTATAGCTAAATCGGGAGGCAGACAATTAAATTACACTTAGTATAATTCAAATGAAAATGATTTAATTGAGAAACAAAGAGCACAAAAGTCATTGTGGTGTAGCAAAGTATAAAAATAGACATTAAAGACATTGATTTACTGAATAAAAACTAGCATTTTTTTTAAATTGTGTCGGCGGATGGGCGAAAAAACCTACAAATTGATCTTACTTTATTGTTTGAAATGGTGTATAAACGGCAATTGTTTTGATCACGAAGGATATGACGTTTAATGCGATGATAGTGTTGGCCTTAATTGCATTATCTTGAATTACACATCATTTGCGTGAACAATTTACCCCATGGTTTGAATCTTGTGGCGCAATATACGATGTCTATCTCAAGCGTACAGAATGCATCGTACAAAGGTGGTCTTTCATGTGAACGCAATGAATTTCCAATTATGCGAGCCACCACGTAAATGATATTTCGTGAGCTTTTGCCACCACGTTCACGGTGAAAATATATGATGTCACACGACGATCCATTTGAAAAAAATGGTCGTAGTCAACATGCACGGAATCACAAGCAATCAAGTGCAAAATTTAAAAAGCATTCCATCCAACATCACTCTTTAAGCCCTTTATTAAAATATGAGGCACGTATACTTGCCATTTGCACGATATAACGCGTGTGTGTGTGCATTCGCGAATCATATGAGGACTATTTACAGTTTAAGAGAGTCTTTACTCTTTTTTTATATCACCCAAATGCGAATACACAGCTATTATGTGTGTGCACACTGAACTACAGATTCATTAACATTAACCTTTGTGTTTGTATTCTATTATTAAAAAGGGCATACTATTGATTCCATGATAAGTTTTTCTTTTATATTTTATTCAGTCTTGCATGTGTTTTCATTTTGGCTTATTTTGTTTGCACATGCAATCGCGTTGTTCATGCTTCAATTTTCCGTCGTTATTTTGTATGGGAAAGCCACCATCAGGCCATTTTCAGTTTGGATTTTCATTTCATTAAATTCTCTGCGCTCATACTTTTACTGTCATTCTCTCTTCTAATTACCATAATTAAATCCTATTTAGAATATCAAATATTCATCAGCATGAAATGAAAACGTGCGAGCTTATACTCACTTTGGTTGTCTGTCTCTCTCTCTCCCTTGAGGCACATCAACACAGATTAAAACATGCGACCAATATTATTATTTTACCAAATAAAGATATTTCGAGGCTATTTTGGTCAGTGATGGTTTTTTCCTATCTGAATAGCGCTAGCTATTCGCAGCGTTTTAATTTTTGGTGGACAGTTATCCAGAATTATGTTCGCTTTCTCTCAGTTTTTTTCAAATATTAATTTATCACAACGGATTTATGAACGTAAATCACCTTGAACACACTCACACACCGTTTGGCCATATCCGTTTTCGCGATGTAACATCCATCATGGCAAATTTCGTGCAATCTATTACCATTCAAAAGCATTGCAAACGAGAATGAAAATTAATTTTCATATTTTTGTACAATTTTGAATAAATTAGTTCGCAGTTAAAGTGAAATGCAACGACCGCAAATGAGTTTTCGTGGAAAATTGCAGTTTTATTTTCGACGAATTTACGTTGCCAAACTAATTAGGATTTGGGCCGGTGATTTATAACAGACTGTCCAATAGGTAACATTTCTGTTGCTAATTGAATGGCATGAATAAAGTCGGCAAAGTTCTCCAAACGAATTGAATATACTCGTTTAATTCTATTTGCACTTAATTGAATTTCTCGTGTGCAAAATCAACATTCATATAATGGCCTTACACGAGAAACAATTACTTCATTACTTGCGAGAGTTTTTTTTTGTTTGTTTCTTTTTCAACCCAAAACCCATAAGTTCCGCCAATTTATCCCGTCTTCTATACGCGCAACAGCTTCAATTGTACGACTTTATAATCTATTTAATAATTTCCATACTTGATGATAAGCTCGGTTCCGTATTGTTGACTGCACTCTTTTTTCTGTTTTTCTTCTTTATCATCGTTTTCATTTGCCAATTTCTCTCATTCACTTCCAGATACAATGAATGTATCAGATGAACATATAAACTTGCAAACAATTATAATTTCGCTTTAGTAAACGCCACATTCCACACATCAATTACTTTCGGCACATATGCATGAATTTGTTCGTTGCGCTTTGGCTACGTTTGCGACTGAACATTGAGAGTATTCGTAAACATTTCTCTTTATTCAAATTGTTTAGCGCGAGAACCTAATTTCATACATATCATTCATGGATCTACTTAATTTATACTGACTTTGTTCACAATAAAATACAAGCATATGCGTTTGCGTCGCAAATAGAGAGAAACTCTATTTATTCAATTTTTTTTTGTATTCATTTATGGACCAACATGTGTAATATTCGACGCCGCACCAAATAGAATGTATTGAATTCACACAGTCGAATGAGTCAGAAATTGCCCCATAACGCCTAATTGAAATGCATTTGAGACGATTAAACGATCGCATGATTTTCAATCAAATGTTTTACATCGAATATTTTTATAAGACGCGTTAGTGCTCAAACAATCACTTTAACGATGCATAAAATGAAAAAAAAAACGTCTAACTAGATTGCATTGATTTAAAAGAAAAAAACAAAGTCAAAATGATATACGATTACAAGGCATCTGATGCTCATTGAAATTAAATATACGCAAATTATGGGCATGAATACGAATGATTTTGCAATGGAACGAGGACAATTTGTACATTTTCTAGCTTATTTAATTGAAGGTAGACAATTTCAATTATGGGGACGAGCGATGAGACAAAAACCGACGATGATGGCACAACATCAGCAGCAACGATTTTTCCCATTCCAGCCAGTCAACGGGTGAAGCGACAAGGCATGGATTTCTATGAAAATACACTCGGCGCACCAAAATATGTTGTAAGTAAAAAAAAAAATTATAAAAAAGTCGCTTCTTGCTGCTATTTTTTGCTTATTGTATGAATTTTCACCATTTTTTGTTCGTCTATGAGGTTGCCCCCATGGTGGATCAGAGTGAATTGGCATGGCGATTGCTCAGCCGACGTCATGGTGCACAGTTGTGCTACTCACCAATGTATCATAGTAACGTTTTTATTCAAGACCCAAAATACCGAGAACAAGCACTTCAAAGTTGCTCTGAAGACAGACCATTAATCATCCAGGTACTTTATTATTTTGACTTTTTGCATACTTTTGATTGCATTCGTTGACGACGAACTGCGAAACATTTGGGGAGAGAAAGAGAATACAAAAGTGGAAACTCAATTCAAACACATCATCATCATTCATTTTGTTTTGATCCCTATCTCTTAGTCGAAATTTCTATTTTAAGTGACAAATTTGAACAAAAGATAACGAAAATAATTCTATTGAAATCAATTTTCATTGCCATATTGTACTACTACTTTCCATATTTATATGGTTAGGCTCGCTGTGTTCGATTCGATTGACCTACTTTTTATTTCTTATACGATTATTTCCTTCTCTATTTCGCGTTCGATCTCTCTCTCTTTCTCCATTTGTCTCTTATTTTTTGCTATTTTATATGGCAGTTCGATTGCAACCAAGACCCATGACGACGGTATATGTAGATGTTTAATATTGAATATACAATACTATTTTCGTTTTCTATTTGCTCCGATAATGATAAATGTATATTGCAAATTTTCTTCGATTTATCTCCCGCTGATCAATATTTATTGAATTGAGAAGGAAACTAATGACTAACAAACTCTTCTCTCATATTTTTCTTCTTTTGTTCATTCGTGTGTTAAGTTTTGTGGAAATGATCCAAAAATATTATTGGAAGCATCGTTAATTGCTCAAGACCATTGTGACGCAATCGACATTAACTTAGGCTGTCCACAAGCGATAGCAAAACGTGGACATTACGGTTCTTTCTTGCAAGACGAATGGCAACTACTTCAAAAAATAGGTAAATTTAAGTTTCAAAGTAAATATATCGCGTTTTCACATTTGACTTTTCTACAATAAAAACACACAATTCATTTTACGATTTCTTCTTTTTCTTTCTGCCTTTCTTTCGCCAATCGAATCCAGTTAGTACGTTACACAAAGGCTTGGCTGTTCCAGTTACGTGCAAAATTCGACGCTTCAACGATTTGAGCAAAACCATAAAATATGCACAAATGCTCGCTAATGCTGGATGTCAAATGCTTACTGTTCATGGCAGAACAAGAGAGCAAAAAGGTCCTTTCACTGGTGTAGCCGATTGGAATTACATTAAAGCCGTTCGGTAACGTTGAATATTATTACCAACCGCATTTCGTAATGAATGAAAGCGTTAATAAATAATCACTTTTTTTGACCTTGCTTGCATATGTGCCCCCCTACATGTACACAGTGATAGTGTATCGGTGCCTGTTTTAGCCAATGGAAACATTTTATCGGTGGAAGATATCGACGATTGTATACGGGAAACAAATGTGGTTGGTGTCATGACAGCTGAAGGTAATCTACACAATCCGGCGATTTTTGAACGAAACTACATACCAGTGACATGGGATTTGGCCAACGAATATTTGGATATTGTTGAAAAATATGAGTGTCCAAGGGGTTACGTTCGTGGTCATATTTTTAAAATGCTACATCATTTGTAAGTCAAATTTTGCCCAAATGAAATCCATCAATAACAGTATTCTAATAAATGGCATTTCATTTGTATTTCAAAATCATTTCAAAAGGCTTGCATTGAAACAGAACCAAGAAACACGAGACGAAGTAGCGACAGCTCAGACAATTGCACAATTTCGTTCGATCGTAAATCGGCTTAAAGCTATATTCGAACCATATCATACGGGTCAAGCGGTGTGGACGAAAGAAGATGAAAAATCAAACGATTATAATCTATCGTTGCCGCCATGGATTTGTCAGCCGTACATTCGAATGCCGCCAGAAAAACATATTGAATATCTTGCACAAAAGGAAAAAGAAGCATCCGAACGAGAGAAAATCGACTATTTCGATGAGGACGGACGAAAAATCTCGAAAAATACAATGAAAAGACTTAAAAAGGCGGCACGAAAATCACATGCCGAGAGATTACGCCAAAAACAAAATAGCAAATTTGAAATATGCAATGGAACGAAATGTGCCAATCCAACGGTAAAAATGATTGAAAAAATAACAAAATGAGATTCATATAAATATTGTGTTTGTTTGTTGCTTTGCAGGGTCTGAAATGTGATCATAAAATGTGCCGTCAATGTTGTAGAGATAAATGCCACACGGATAATTTGGAATGTGAGGGTCATAAATGTCGAGTGGAACCCGTCAAACGGAAAAACATATGTCCAAACAATACAGAAATTAGCCAAACGGACCAACCAAAATGATATTAAACACTTAAATATTACATTCAAATATGTACTTCTGATTATTATAAAGAACGATGTGAAATAAAGAGGAAAATATTTCTATTTTTGAAATGAAAATAAAACAACAAACCATTGGAATTAAATGTGGAAATATATTCAGATGTTGGTATACACAATTTATAAATTATCAGTAGGTAATTGATGAAGTTTTGTTTTCAAAGCTTTCTCTATTGATTCATAGGTGGCACACTTGTGTAGGAATCGAAGTGGTAATTCACCAATTGTAGATGTTTGTAATATAACGTGGGGCTATTTGTATCTTGTGCACTTTATGAATATTGTGATAATTTCTGCATAATCGCAACAAATTTTCTAGAAAACATTTTACGCTTCTGAAAATTTGGATTAAATTGCATGATATAATACATAGCAAAGAAAGCTTCGCAAGTAATACAAAATGAGTAGAGTTTTTGCTTTGTTTGCAATTTTTCATCTATAATATTTTCCGTCCACATTGTCGAGTAGTCAAGCTCTTTCTGTTTTTTTCTAAATCATACGATAAAATTGAAAATTCTAAAGTGAAAACAACTGTATCAGCTTTCAAATCGTTGAAAATTTTAATCACTCAGTCATTGCAATTTATGTCTTACATTCGATTCCCCTTTCTCAGTTTGAGTTTGACATTGAATGAAAAAGCAAGATGTTAATTACAGAAACCACAAATTTCCCAACTTGTTCAAATTTGCAAGAAACAAAGCCAAATCCAATGCCATAGAGCGTATGGTAAGAGAAAAGCATTAATTAATATAATTGCATGTCAAAAACGTTTTGGTGTTTCTCTAGTTCAAAGCTGCCAGATATCAATGCTGAAAATAATGAGGCACAAAATCCTACCGATCATTTGAAAGCCAACCAAGTTCAAGGACCTGAAATGTCGCATTTTGATGATGTGGTAATTAACTTTTTTTTATCATGGTTTTCACAAAATTGACGGTTATTCTACTAATCTGAATTATTAATTGTTCTTATAGAGGAATCAAAAACTGAATCAGTGTTAAAATTGGAGTTGGCACATCTGCGTAAATTGTTGGATGACGCCACGAAAGAAAACGCTCAACTATCTGACGAAAATCAAGAATTGAAAAAAATGTTGGAACAAAATATGGACGACTCTGATATTGCATCAAATTCTACTGTCGATGAGGAAGATATTTACGAACAAATTATGAATTTGAATGAGCAGATTTCCGATTTGAAAACCAAAACAAATTCTTATTTGAAGAATATTCATCACTTATAAGATGCACTCAAAGTTCAAACCTATAATTGTGATTTAAGGGAATCTGAAATTCATCGTTTGCATGAAGTGCTTTCGCAACAAATTCAAAGATACCAAATTCTCCGAAATCAATTCAAAGAAAAGGGCCCACCCAGAAAAATGAACAGATTTGATGAAAGCTCTTCAGCTCTATATGACACAGTATTGGTGGGAAAAATGAACAAACGACATGTTGGCAACTTGAAAAGATCTGTATCTGATGCATTCGGAAAACAAATGTAACATACCAATCAAAAGAAAACTAATGATGCCAAAGTGATAAATCATTTGTGCGAAAATCAAACTATGTCATTTCGTCTTTTTATTTAAATAAAATGCAAATTCACGAGATCATTTTGTAATCCCTTTGCACATAGCTAACGATACAAATTTCACATTGAAATAAACTATTTATAATAACTTCATTACTCAACTTGTGTCATGATCACGAATAATATTATCAACAGCACCACATGAATGAGAGTGAGTAAAAAATTGGAAAATATTTTCGAACATTTTTTGGGGATTTCAAGATTCTAGCTCTTGGGTTCTTGTATTGTGCCATAAAGACAATGACTGGTACGAACAAATAAAAAACATCAGGATGAGAAACTCATTTGAAAATTAAGACTTCCACAATTTTGATTGGGCAATTGGGCATACTTTTGTTAGGCGCATGATTTTACCTTTTAAATAATACCTGTAAGACTCAGAGAAAACTGTAAGAATGCTAAAAAATTAATAATTTTATTTAAATGAAAGACTTAAAAAATCTATTTTTACTGTGTATTTTTTTATTGGCGTTTTGTTTTTTCATTTTAATTTTATTCTCGTGAGAACGAGTGATAGCCCTTCCAATGTGTGCTCTCAATTCTTGGTATGATCTACTTGTTCGGTAGTTGATTTGGCTGGCCGTGTTTTGCGACGTGATTTTCCTTTTTTGGCTTTTGCTTTCATCGATTTTCTTTTCGTTGCTTTTGCTTTGGCTGATTTAGTTTTGGTCGCTTTTGGTTTCATCAACTTTTCTTTCTTTGCTTTTGCTTTGGTTGATTTAGCTTTAGTTGATTTTTTATTGGTCGATTTGACTTTGGTGGATTTTGCTTTGGCCGATTTGGCTTTAGTTGATTTCTTCTTGGACATCTTATTCCCAGTCTTTTTTGGGGTTATTGACGCATCCACGGCCATTCGTTTTTGATTTGGTTCCTCATTACTTGTAGATGGGGAAAGTGCTCTTTTCCGTGATTCATTTGGTTCTGTTTCTGTATTCATTTTTATAAACTTTTTTTTTTAAATCTGTAAATTGATGGAATTTTCAATTTGAAATTTTTTCAATTTTTTTTTTTGCACCAAATTCTGACAAAACAACGTTCGACGTTTCTTTTGTACGTTATCCAACTAAATGTGTCAATAATTTACATGGTTGCTACAATTGTTATTTATTTATTGATAAAAAGTGGCGTTTATAGGAATGGCATTCTAGATTAATTCAAACGCAGATATGTGTGTTTATGAAGTAAACAAGAAATTAATATAATGTGCTCGTAAGAAGTAGGCTGTGATTGGAAATTTATTTCTTGAAATTTACGTCACACAAACAAGGAAACTAAAATAAACTATGTGAAAATTAATGGTTGTAAAATATCCAGACAGATTGTGTGCCCGCTTTCGATCAGCAAACATCGAGTACCATTCTAATAAGATACATGGTTTATCATATTATATTGCTACCAAAACATCTCAAAGTCATATGAACACTCGAACATCCGTCAACATTTAAAAAAATCCCCTTTCCGTTCGAAATTTTAAAAATGTTACAATATTACCGTTATATCCTTATACTTGTTATTAAGACAACGTATTGTCTTTATATTTCTTTCTACCTAGCCTCTTTATACCGGATGTGCTCTATTTTATGTTCCGTTCATTTAAGTTTTGGTAATTAGAGGAAAAATGATGGCACATATCATCTCGGGAATATTACAAGAAGGGAAATAAAGTGACCAAGTAGATTTTGAATAAAATGTGAAATGCTGCGTAGTATGCGTGTAAATTTTAATTTTTGCTTACTTCATTTATAAGAAATCACAATGATCAAGTTACATAGCATATTATTTGTTATTATGAAAAATAATAATTTCTTTATTTATTGAAAGTCCGGAAACTTATTTGTACACCCAGTATGTACATGTAATGCGTATTTCAAGTAAATAAAGTTTTGTCTGTAAAATCGCAAACAAGCGAAATAGAAAAAGAAGAAGAAATATTAAATATAATTCTGATTATTAAAAAAAAGATTTTACTTTGAGTAGAATTAGTTTTTTTTATTTAAAACTTGTTTCCTTCATTAAATGTTCGATTTATTTATCATTACTTATCCAAATCAACGGAGAGCGTATTTTATTTTTAATTTAATTATTTGTTTTGAATTTAATTCACAATGTGAGAGAGATAACTACGCGTCTTGCGTGACGAACGGATTTTGAATGGATTCCATACCGTCTTGCGGACAAATCAGTACAACAGATGTGCCACGGCATACAACCAAACCCAAACTACGGGTATCATCGCACATTTTATATGGTTCTTCGGTGTCACGCAAATATTCCTGTGTGTTGTCCAGCACCAAATTCAACAATGGATCGTACCCTTTCAGAACGCCGCTTGCTTCACGGCCGCCAGCAAATTTTACACGGATCGTCTTTTCCAAATACTTGCTGAGATCCAAAATCGATTCCTTTCGGCGTTTTTCTTTGTTTTCGCCTTGATTTCCACTTCCACCAGCCTGCAACAGAAACAAAAAAATGCGTCAAAACAACCGGTCTATCAATTCAATACGTTCGGCTTTTGTTTACAACTTACCTTTGGTTTATCACTCATTTTCAATAATTTATTTTGTTTGAAATGCTCGATTAAAATTGAAGATCGATGTTTTTGAGGTCGTATCACAGGTGGTGATTGGTACTTTCTTCCTAAAAAAATACTTTTAATTGGAATAACACAAAAAATGCGTGTTGCACATCGATTAATCGTATATTGTTTATTAGGGTTATGTTTTTTTGTTGAACCAAGTGACAGATTCACATTGTATTTCGTGCACTCACGCAACCGATAAAGCAGTATTGGCGCAACTTTTCGATGGAGGAAATGATATGAAATTGAAAAGAAGATGATGAGACTTAATTTAGTGGACATTTTTTAATTTTAATTTTTTAAATGAAAAGTACTTCTGACCAGTACTGATACTATTTGAATTTCATTTCAATTAAAAACATTTCGAAAACAATTTCGATTCAAAACAATGGAAAAAACGTTAAATGTACAACACAGAAATATGATATGGCGTCTCCATTGCCTTACTTGATATGAGAATCACAAGCACCGAAAAGTAAAACTCGGTTCATCCACCACTCGCATCGGTTCAAATTGGACGGAATCTAGTTTTGGGATTTTTGAATATTTGCTCAGGCAAGCGTGTTTAATTCGCATTATAATAAAATCGAATGTAATTTGCGCTGATGTCGTTTACAATGAATTTTTAAATTGCTGCACGATAATTTAATTATCTTTTTGAAGCTCATGCACAACTGAATTTTGGGATGTATTGCTCGGGTCACGATAAAGCGTTATCGGTTTCTAAGCCACTATTTTTTTTTTTTTTTTTTGAATTTTAAATCAGAGCATTTTTCTACGTTTAGCACTTTTTGTTTTTGTTTGTGGTTTTTGAAACTATAAAAAGGGGTGTATTAACATGCACTGAGACTGGTTTTTTTTTGCTGGATCGGTGAAATAAAACCTAGCTTAATAGACATTGATACTTTGTCGTATCAATTGCATTGTCCAGTGATTATTCCCTTGGTTACATTTTCATTCGCTACTAATCTTCTTTTTTGCTATTCGTCCCTTTTTTAGCATTTAATTAATAAACCAAAGCCAAAACTGGGTCTTTCGATCGATTACAAAAAAAAGTAGTTTCGATATATATTACAATGAGGAACTGACTGTCATGGCAAAAGAGCGAGCTTTGATTTAATTGTGAGCACGACTTTTGTGCAGAATTGATCCGCTCATTGATTTCCTTATCGATCGTTTTTATCTAACATTTGAACTTTGCTTTATAGGAACCTTAGACAATTGCATGTACTCAGGTAATAAACCTCTTGAAATGGACTGAACGATCAATGTAAATGCATAAAAATACGAACCAATCAAATGTGAAAATTGTTTGATTTAAATGGTTAAACAAAATGTAAAACATGATTTTAACGTGGTTTCTATTACAAATAAATATTGCGCACGTTCGTCGAATGTAAAATGCAAGAAAAAAGCGAATACGAACAATGATGAGTGTGTGTGTGTGTTTTTGTGTGCAGGTAGCAAGAACGGAATTGGATAGAGAGCAAACAAACAAAAAACTTGCTGAAAGTGAAATAATTTGTTATAGAAAAAAATATATATATATGAAATAAGACAATGCAAACATATGGTACACAATGGGCGTGCGCGCATTCGCGTACATTTGAAATTGCATTTATAGGTATCGAAAGTTGAAAATTGCATTTTCATTTTGCTGCTATTATTTTTATATCGACACACTCAATTATGAACAAATGCATGAAATGTGAGTTTCAACACACACACACACACCAATATATTGGATGTGTGTGTACGCGTATAAAAAAATCGCTAAACCCTTCCTTTCGGCGGCAATCATCGTTGACGTGATTTCGGTTTCGTTATTACCAATCCAAACTAAAAGAATCGAATCATTAAAGAGAAAGAGAGAGATAGAGAGAGAGAGAGAGAGAGAGAGAGACGATTTTGCAAATGTTAACACGCACTGTCAACACAATTTTCAGATAAACAACAGTGACGACCGAATAAAAAACTGTGCAGAAAATAAGCGATCTTATTACACTCTCGAGCCTGATTACAATCGGAAATTATATCCGTAAATATAGCAATTGAAATTGTACGACAACTCGGTGAACGACCGACGTCGTTGCAATTCCTTGTCTACATAGAGCGCATAATATGAACGCTGTGCCGAAATTAAATATAATTTTTTTTTCGTGTGCCACAATTTATGTTCGGAAATGTGTTTACTTTTACTCATTCAACATTTGGGTTTTTTAATACAAATAACGTTTCGTATTGGTATTAGCTGCGTGCTGAAAATGTGTATTCCGTGAAATTTTGGATTGTTTATGACCCAATAGCACGGTATGTATGATCGAAAGAGGGATTTTTTTTATGACAACGATGATGATTGTAATCATTTCACCATATCCTGACACAAACAAACCAAAGCCTTAAAATGCAAATTTATGACGAATTGCCTCGAAAATGGTGTTGACGATTTTTTCTTCCGATAAATTCAATTCGAAATAATTATAAGGCCAATGAATAATCAAAATACAAGGGAGATACAACACATAAATTGTAAAAAAAACTGAAAAAAAACTTTTTTTTTCATTCAAAAAAGAATCCTCTTTCACATTTTAATTCTGTAACAAATTCGTTTAAATCTCTTTGAACCGCTTTTAGTCTATCTCTCTCTAACTTGCCCTATAAAGATATGATTCCAAGTGATGGATTTAAGTGTTTTTTTTTCTTCACTTTGTAACAAAAACAGTTCCACTCATGGTTTGGTTGGTTTTTGTTTACATACATGGGTCTTATGCGCGACTGTGGTGTCTGTCTGTATTGCTTGTTTTCAGTTCAATGGTGTACACATGTTTTTTTCCACTCTATGCAAATAATATGCATTTTTTCCGACACGATGTATGCGCTTGCCTTTCTGGCTCACATCCAAATGAGGAACCAAAAATTGTAAATAAATGAAACGAAAAAAAAAAATCATAACAACAACAACTTACAACAAAGCAGATAATGAATGGTGTAAAAAAAAGGCAATACACAGCAAAATATAATTTAAGCCTCAGTTTTTTGGTTTATTTTAAACCCATAAAACGGATGGAAATGATGAGCTGAAACGTACAGCAACGAGAGAAAAAAATGCAGTACATTCATGGCAATAGCATAAAGCGATGAGCATACACATGCAGTGTTTGATTTTTAAACCGAAACAACGACGAGATAAAAAGGGTGCGCATTGCGTGTATGGCTTTGCTGATCTCTCTCTATATGTACACATATGATGTGCTCCAGAAATATTCCAAAAAAAAAAAAAAAAACGATGACGGCAACATTGTGTCTTTGAATGAATAGGCACACTTTTTGGATGTGTCATAATTTTTCTAAATGGAAATGATACGAGCCATTCGCATATGAATGTGCATTTATGGTGACATTATTGGACGCGACCATATGAAATTTGAATAATTCACATGGAAAAAGGCTTTTTCATTATCTCTGCTCTTCCTCCTCATTTACTGTTGCTGAGCGCCGACAACGACAACGACGATGAATTTTTTCAAATCTAAAACATTAAATTATGCTGTATGTCACATTTATGCAAATTTTGTCATTGTGTTTGTACTTCAAACCTCGTTTTTTCGGCGCTTCATTATGTTTGTTTGGAGAGTGAAAAAAACTTGTCACCAAAAAAAAACTCTATTCCATTTAAAGTATAGGAAAATATTTATTATTTGCATTTGAACCGAGACATTGAATATTGCAACGCAACTGTTACTTCCAACACATTTTGATTTGCACGATCAAACACACACATATTTGAGTGTTAACTGCAGGAGGAACGTATTCATTGTTGCCATTGATGAAGAGAAAGAAAGAGCCCACCAGAGAGAGAGAGAGAGAGAGAGAGAGAGAGGGAGATAGAAAGAGTTAAACGACATTCAAGTACCGCTAAGTGCTTGAATTGTACTAGTGTATTTTTTCCACTTCTCTGTCATCGCATCGAGTTTTTTTTCTTGTCGAATTGACTGTTTGTAGGACCTTAATGAGTAAATAACGTTTTGTGTCAATTGAAAGTGGTAGTTGGCATCAAAATTAATACGCTCCCAACAACTCAACAACGATCCACTTGAATTCAAATGCAATCGAATGAATTCAGATGGTGAATTAAAAACTGGATATTCATGTTGCGACAACATTGAAACTTATTCGAACGGGGAGCGAAAGAAGAAAAAAATGTCAATATTACCAATTTGAAGTATTTAATTGTCGTGATACTGATGTAAGAGATCACTGATTGTTTAGTTCTCATCAATATGCTAATGCATTTTCACTATAAAGGTTTCTTTTTGTAAAAGTTACGAATTCGTAACTCATTCAAGTGGCATTTGATCGATTCACAAGCGTTTATAGCATAAAATTTTATTATGACATTGACTCTACACGTCGATAACCAAAAAAAACGAGAGTAAAGCAAACAGGAAAAAAATTCGTGATTACGGAGCTAACATCGGAAAAACGTGTATGGGAAAAAAGGTTAATCGGTTCAATGATGATTGAAGAGACCGAATTCGCGATTAGACAAGAAAGCAAAAAAAACAAGGCCATTTATGGTGACTACGACAAAATTATTTTTAATTGAAGCGTCGGTTTTTATTGATATGCGCGAATTAATCGAAAGCGAATTTTGTGTACTTTCCGTTAACATTTTCATTAAAAAACTGCACGGAACTAACTTTTTTATGCATATATCCGAACGGCGCACTCATACATGTTTTGAATTTTTTTGCGTCCAGGCGCGATTCCGTTACAGGTCGAAAAACAACATCTTCCCAATAAATGGTATATTAAATACATATTCGACTCTTCCGACAGGCTGTGCCGGTTCCATGTATTTAAAAAGCATATCTCCGCGATATAAACAAACTTTAATGTGTGTTTTCTCTCTCTTTATCTCTTTTCATTTCTTTTTTGCACCTTACTTGCAGTTTTTTCATTCTCGTGCATTTGAAAAAAGCAATATTCATGCAAAAATCATCACAATGTTACATCGCTGTGGCCGAAGTAAGAGCAATATTTTAAATGCACATGGAAAAGCAGTTGGGGAATTGTACTTGGGGTCAAAGAGAGATAGCGAACCGAGAGAAACAAAACCAACTGAGTCGATGTTTG